GCACGCACGCACGCACGCACGCACGCACGCACGCACGCACGCACGCACGCACGCACGCACGCACGCACGCACGCACGCACGCACGCACGCACGCACGCACGCACGCACGCACGCACGCACGCACGCACGCACGCACGCACGCACGCACGCACGCACGCACGCACGCACGCACGCACGCACGCACGCACGCACGCACGCACGCACGCACGCACGCACGCACGCACGCACACACACACACACACACACACACACACACACACACACACACACACACACACACACACACACACACATTCAAAATATTTTGATACAACTAAGATGATATTATGAGATCCATATAAAATATTATCATAAGTTTGCATAAAATTATAAAATTTACGAATGTATCTTTTATAATTAAAAATATCTTCAAATGGAACATAAGAGCGTCAGAAAAGAAACCATAAAACTCAGGCTCTAAAATAAAAAATATTATTTATAGAGCTAAATGGTATGATTATTTTCGTTAATGATATATGTATGATTCCTCACCCTGGCCAAACCTTCTAAAGAGGGACAAAACAAACCAGCAGCATTAACTTTGTAAGTTTTTGTAGTTTTTCTGAGCAGGAAAAGTAGAGATTTTTGAATCTTTACTGGTGCCTTGTACCATTTTGTGTTACATCTATATTGCAAAAAAAAGATAGTTTATAAACAACATAGGAAGATTGCTTATGGTCACCAGTAATGAATAAATTCTAACAGGGACTTATGGTCAACCCAACTGGCTAGTAGCTTTATTTACTTTACAATTTAATTTATACATACTCTACGTATTAGACTTTATTACCATGACTTACACTAGTCTACCGTTTTTAATTTAATTTATACTTGACTTATTTATTATAATTATGATTGTTGTTGATTGCAGTATTACTTGAAGAAGACCCAAACTAGGGTCGAAACGTTGTTGTATCTACTTAAATAAAGCTACTAGCCAGTTGGGTTGACCATAAGTCCCTGTTAGAATAGTTTATAAATACATCTACAGGCTATATACGTGTCTACAAATTGTATTTTTCATAAAATATATCATGCCTGCAAAAGGTAGATTAATTGTACTACGTACATCATTCGATGAACCCGATCATCACGATTTATAAATTCTTGTCCAACAAAATTACCTATAATTAAATATGAAAAAAGGAGGCTCACATAATAGAATAATTTAATAAGTTCTAGCTCTTCCTGTTGCATCGTTATTACTCGAAATATCTGCAAATAAAATCAATGGTGCAATAGTTACAGGTAATATTATAAAGCTAGCAATAGTAATCATATATAACCAGTATTTCTACATACACGATAGAGTGAAACAGCTGCCGTACATATAGTCATTACAATTATAAACAGGTACGATAGCCCCAAGCTTTTTTGTAATAAATCCGAAAATCTAACAGAATAACGGTTTTCTGTCATTACTCATAATCATTAATTGCAAAGTGCTACGATATTCTATCTTTAAGTTTTTACTAATAATCTATTGGTATTATAGGACATTTTTGGAATTTGTGACATACTAACTGCATAGCTCTTTTATGGATGTCCACGGCAGCGACTATTTTATCACAAAATATAATAGTGCTATCACAACTTTTAGCTAATTCACGTATTTGTGAAATATTTATGCTTAACATATGTTCCATACGGTAACTATAAAATGCTGTATGTCATGAAAAAGATTGTATATATATATACTATAATATTGTATAATACAAAATTATTAAAAGAAATTACTATAAAACTATACTATATAATTGTTATATTGTTATATATTATTTTAATAAATATTAATCATGTGCATTCTTACACACATACGCACATGCATGGACACTCACGTATGCACGCACGCAAATCAAGTGTACGTTCAAAGGCTCCCATATTATTTACCTTTTATTTCCCTATTATTTACAGTTTTTCTTCTTACTATATTTTCTCAGTGTCATTTTTACACGACCAGATGTGATTATGTATAAAGTGAAAAAGTAAGCAATGTAAGAGTGAAATAAGTAAATAATAAAGAGAAGAGAATAAACACACACGTGTATACGTGATACCACATTTCGACAGTAGAGAAAATCTGAACATAACTGAAAAAACTCAACGGATTGGTGGCATTCGTGTAAGAAAATGTAATTTATCACCTTCGAAATATTCTCTTAAGATCGCAATGTAACTTAAATTATTTTTGAAAAAGATAAAAGTGAACTGCACAAGAACAATGACTAACTTTTAAGAAAAGTCGTTTTCACTTACGATGTACCTAGCAACATTAAACATTCCAAAAGCATGTAATGCGTTTACTAATGAGAATGATTCAGCAGCTATTGCAGTAGTTGCACAAAGGAACATTCCAATAACTTCATGCATAATTAGAATATAAAAATATTTTTCCTGATTGGTAAAATATTTCGCCTGATGGATAAGCATACTTGGACGAGATTCATTTAAAGGTACTATGCCATCAAGTAAATCCGGAAGATATTGCATTAAAGTGAAAGCAAAAATTCCAAAATAGATGGATACTAAAGTGTAAAAAATTTTACTATTTTATTCAGTCACAGTGTATAATTGTTATCCTGAGTATATATTTGCAAACATTCAAATTATTTGTTATATCAAGTATAATAAAATTATCAATTTTTTTTAAAACAATATACGTATAGATCATACTTGAAATAAACACAATAATGCTGTTAGTAATATTTATATAAATAATATATAAATGCTGAGAAAACTTTAAAATAATGTGTAGGGGTTGTTATATTAATTTCAAAATTTAAATAAGCCTAACGTGATTGAATTAACAAATTTTTATTATATTTTTATTTCTGAATAAATTACATTAGTTTATTATATAGAAAATTTGCTTAAAGGAATACCAAAAATTAGTTCTATTAATTTTAATTGGCGTTTCATATAACACATCAGAAATTGCTCATATAGTTATGTCCGATAACTCAAATTTAATCGAGTTAAAGTAATTTAAATTTCTTCAAAAACGTGTACTTGCAAAAATGTTTGCAAATTTTTTTCGACCGTTAGTATATTTGTGCATTATAAAAACTTTTACTTACTTGCGAAAATTTTTGTAAAGCTTTTTCCTCCGTTAGTATATTTGTGCATGATATCGATCTCTTGATCATTTACTAAAACACTCCAGTTATTTCGGACACGTTTCCGTAATTGTTTTATCTATTAATACATGCATATGAAAACTATTGTACATAGAAATTAACTTCAGATTAAATTATTACAGAACTTACATTTTCTGTAATAAACAGAAAAGTAATATGTTTGGCAAGAAATATTAGAAATATGGAATTAATAGCTAATACTTCCAGAAGAAGATCCAAGCTGCATTCCGAAAGAATTAATTTCATAAACTGTAAGCAACACTCTTTTACTGATGTGTGAATAATATTTTATAATAACCTATACATAGAACTACTATATAGGACATTCTGTATATCCGAAAGAAGTTATTTTAAAAAAATTCATGCGCACACACAATAGTCAGTTTGCGTAGTCAGTCATGAAAATTCATAAACAACATTTACGTTTTGTTTGTACTAAACTAAAAAATCTGTACTATGAAACTCAAGTAATTTGAAAGTTATTTCAAAATCATGTTAAAACTTTCTTATAAGTATATTTATTGTATAAT